TTACCGCTCCGAGTTAATATCTAACATTTCAAAAGAAAGGGCGATATAGGAATGAAAGGACATCGTGCTTCGGCTGGACGTGCCTCCCCCACCCTTCCCCCACTTTTGTACCATCAAAGACACAATTCATTATCCTTGTTTTATTAGGCGGAAACAAATTGATCCCACAACAGATTTTTTTTTTTTTAATAACAAAAAAAGGGAATTTGAAACTGTAGGAGTAAATTACTCTACAGTGACCTCTAAATTCGCTATTCACTTCTCGAACAAGAAAAAGTCGAAATTTTGAATCCAACCTCTTAATACGTGATCCAAACCAAGGTTAGTGTATCCCATCACAATAAAATTATAATCCCATCCATTAATCCACCCCATCATCACTTGTTCAGCAAACAACACGTAATTAAATGAAAACTAATAACTCCATTTATGCCAACGCTAATCCATATGGAATTTACACTCTTTTATCATAAATTTTTATTATGTTATTATTTAAAGTGTATTTTTCACTCATTAATACAAATTAAATTGTAAATGAAAAAATAAAAAATAAAGACAGAAAAAGGACAAGGAAAAGACAAAGGTTTTTTTTTTTTGTGATCGAAGGAAAAGACAAAGTTGGGTGAGGTGTTCTGGTACGGGTGTGAATGCAAGTTGGTAATAATTTATATTTACTAGGAAAAAAGACAAAACACTCCCATTCCTCTCCCTCCGTACATAAATTGCGTTTCAAACGCTGTCTCTCTGGTGTCGTTCATAACTTTCTTTCACCATTTTCTTGAGAAAGTCAGAGAAAAAAAAAAACAGGAGAGAAAAAAAACGTGGGTGTGGTGAATTTGGTGCTGTAGAGAGGCTTTTTGATCAAGAAAAGATCAATTTGCTGTATGTCAGAAGTGGAATATTACTATTACAGCGACAAGTACAACGGCGGTTACGGTGAGCTCGCGAACCCATTACAATGGCCTCAGCTCCGGAAAAAGCGACGCCTCCTCCTATTCCTCTCCTTGGAAAAGCTTCCGCTGATGTCTTGAAAGATTGGAGCTCCACCGCCGACAATCCCGACGACGCTCAGGTCCACCGGAAAAGAGCTGCTGCTGCTGCTTCCATGGCGACCTTGATTGATTCCATTCCTCAACCCTCCTCAAATCCCACTGCAACCAAAGGTATATGTTTAAATGCTCTGTGTATGTATTGGTATTTATGCGTTATCACTTTTTGACTCCTGCTTTTATGCAGTAAAAATGAAAGAATTACATCAGTAATACTCTGGTTGGTTGCTGAGAAAATAGGGAAAAAGAAAGATAAATCAAGCTAGAGAAAAGACTAAGCAAGTGCTGTTAGGGTCGGAGTGTGAAGAAGGGTTTTATGATTCTGTCATTTAGAAATAGGTGAAACACATATTGATTTTGTCTTTTTTTTGGATGTTGGGTGGAACATAGAATTGTAGATGGTGGATCTAGAATTTTCAGCTAGTGATCCACAATTGGTTGATTTATAAGTGGAGGAAAATGAAAGTGGATAAGTGACGATTCATGTGATTGTATTTTGGGTCTAAAAAAAACCACACCATACTTGATTCATCGAATTTTCTTAGTTTTTTTTTTTTTGCGTATTGGATCAGATGATTTTAGACTTATGTTTTCTTAACTCATCTTTGTTGGTAATTGTTCTAATTTTGATTTTTCTCCATTAAAATCCCTTAGCTTTTTTTTGTTTTGGATTTTTAAATTCCATGTTTTTCAGGAGGATGTTTCATTGTGGCTATATGTTCTGTTGCTACATTCAGTTCTGAAACCATGATCTGATTATTAGTGGTTATGTTTCTGATTGAGTTGGTTTGCATTCACAGGACTTCCAAGCATGTTGAGGGCTCAAACCCGGCATCCTTTGGACCCTTTAACAGCTGCTGAAATATCAGTGGCTGTGGCAACTGTCAGAGCTGCTGGAGCAACTCCCGAGGTTGTTATTTTCATTACATTTGCACCTTTAACTGAAAATAAGTTTTGACTGTGACATAAATCTGGTATTTTTGCTAATGCTTAGGTGAGAGACAGCATGCGTTTCATTGAGGTGGTTTTGTTGGAACCAGATAAAAATGTTGTTGCATTAGCGGATGCGTATTTTTTTCCTCCTTTCCAACCATCGTTACTGCCCAGAACGAAAGGTGGACCTGTAATTCCTAGTAAACTTCCTCCAAGGAAGGCAAGACTGGTTGTTTACAATAAAAAGTCAAATGAGACGAGCATATGGGTTGTTGTACTATCAGAAGTTCATGCTGTGACTCGAGGTGGCCACCACAGGGGCAAGGTTATTTCATCCAAAGTCGTGCCAAGTGTACAGCCCCCTATGGTATGCAGTATTTAGTTCTCAAGATTGTGCTGAGTTTTTTTTAATTTTTGTGGAATATCCCAATATAGATCTTCTTAAACAGGATCTAATTGATAATATTACCAACACATGCTAATGACAACCAGATTGTAATTGAATCTTCACCAATAAAGAACAGGAATTGGTATAGGGAAGCTCCAATTTTATCTCTTGGACCACACAGATTTATGTAGCTTCACAAATACAGACATGAACATGCACAAGGACACTGCTCATATAAGCCCAAATCTAACCATCCACCCATACAAATCCTAGCTGAAATTATGTTCCAACATTGGACTGGCAACTTATGAATAAAAGGTTTAACATTTAGGTCAATGCCCTCTATTCCTTCTTAATTTTGATTTCACAGGATGCTGAGGAATATGCCGAATGTGAAGCCATTGTAAAAGATTTCCCACCATTTCGGGAGGCAATGAGGAGGAGAGGAATTGAGGACATGGATCTTGTGATGGTTGATCCCTGGTTAGTCACTGCATTCTGTTTTTCTTCTCCCCTTTAATACCCTATTGGTAATTATTTCTCAGGTACGTCTTGCACTCCTTTTTATACTTTGCCATGCAAACCCTCCCCCAGGTGTGTTGGTTATCACAGTGAAGCTGATGCGCCTAACCGCAGACTTGCTAAACCACTTATCTTCTGTAGAACTGAGAGTGACAGCCCTATGGAAAATGGTTATGCTCGTCCAGTTGAAGGAATTTATGTTCTAGTTGACATGCAAAATATGGTGGTTGTTGAGTTTCAGGACTACAAACTTGTTCCTCTACCGCCAGCTGATCCTTTGAGAAATTATACTGCCGGTGAAACACGGGGAGGTGTTGATCGAAGTGATGTGAAACCTCTACATATTATTCAGCCTGAGGGTCCGAGTTTCCGTGTTGACGGGCACTTTGTTCAATGGCAAAAGGTGTTTAATTACTTGTGTAGCTAGATTATTTATGTGTTTCGCTAAGTTCAACACTTTCTACTGATTACCTGGTCATTTTGGTTTCTATTTGGCAGTGGAATTTTCGTATTGGTTTCACTTCTAGGGAGGGTTTGGTTATTTATTCTATTGCATATGTCGATGGTAGCCGAGGTCGGAGACCTGTGGCTCACAGGTTAAGCTTTGTTGAGATGGTGGTCCCTTATGGGGATCCACATGATCCACATTACCGGAAGAATGCATTCGATGCAGGTGAAGATGGGCTTGGTAAAAATGCTCATTCTCTTAAAAAGGTCAGAAACCTTCCTACCTTGCTTCTTATAATCTTTTAGTTCTTAGTTACATCTTGCACTTTGTGTGGGTTCAAATGAAAATTATGCTTCTTGACACAACTTTGGCATTGTAGGGCTGTGATTGTTTAGGCTATGTCAAGTACTTTGATGCACATTTTACAAATTTCACGGGAGGTGTTGAAACGACTGAAAATTGTGTTTGCTTGCATGAAGAGGATCATGGAATCTTGTGGAAGCATCAAGATTGGAGATCAGGACTAGCCGAAGTACGGAGATCAAGACGGCTGACAGTGTCTTTTATATGCACAGTGGCTAACTATGAGTACGGATTCTTCTGGCATTTTTATCAGGCAAGTTAATAACTCAACTTTACATCTGAGAGTTAGTTTGCTTTTGTTGTTTCAGTTGGTAAGATAGCCTCTTTTGTCTATCAATAGTTCTCTCTCCTAAAATGTTCCACACTTTGCTTAGTACTAGTGTTAGGTTTGGATGTCATCTAAATTACGGTGGGTTATCGTTGGCATCATTATTAGAATGTGTACTTGGCATGCATTTGAATTACTTTGGATGGTGTCTTTTGATCTTCAATAATTGCACTGTCTTGTGACAGGATGGGAAAATTGAAGCTGAGGTTAAGCTCACAGGAATACTAAGCTTGGGAGCTCTACAACCTGGGGAAGTTCGAAAATATGGGACCACTATTGCACCTGGCTTATATGCACCAGTCCACCAACACTTCTTTGTTGCCCGTATGGACATGGCTGTAGATTGTAAGCCTGGTGAAGCGTATAATCAGGTTAACTTTGTAAGATGTTTGAATAGTAATCTCATTGATGGCTATTGTTCTAGTTCGAATTGGTGGTTTTTATGGTTGCAATATGTAAATCTAGTTCATAATTTTCTGACCTGTGATATAATCAGCCTTAGCAACCATTAATTCTGTTTGTCACCTTCTTTTCTACTGTTAAGATTCATCTTCTTAGAGGCTATCCACTGGATGATTGCATTAATTAATTTGTGTTGCCTCTATTTAGACAAATTCTAACTCTTTTTTTCGAGTGGAGGTTCATACTTTTTTGCTTCACATGGATACTAATTTCTGCATTTGCGAAAATATTTCATCATGTTGAACACACAAGTAATACTTATACATCCTTGTTTATAGGTTGTTGAAGTGAATGTTAAAGTTGAGGAACCGGGGGAGAATAATCCACACAGCAATGCATTTTATGTTGAAGAGAAATTGCTCAAATCTGAACAGGAAGCAATGCGTGATTGCAATCCTTTAACTGCGCGACAGTGGATTGTATGATTTCTTGCTCTTGTTGAAGTTTTTTCCTCAGTTTTTGGCCTGTGATCTCTCTCTCCAGCAGTAATAGTTCTTTTTAGAATTCCTCTGATGTCAGCAGTCATTGCCAGTTGAAAATTCTCATTAGTGAGGTTTCTGCAATGGAAGTATAATGGGACTAGGCCGTGCTTGCCCTTGGTTCACTATACCAAGGAAAAGAAGAGAAAATTAACATGGATTTTTGGGTTGAGGAAGATCTTAAATAGCTGGACTCTGCCCCTCATGGCTTGAGATTTTTTATTTTAAATGGTTGAGTTCAATATTTAATGCTGGAGTGTAGACCTCTCGAATCAAAGGCTTGAGAGCATTACTGATGAAGTGCTTGACTATTAATTTTTCGCATTAGATATTTGGGGTTAAATCATAAAGTAATTAAGGTTAGGGAAGAGAAGAGAAGACTTTAAGAGAAGAAAGGAGATTAAGAGAAGAGAGTAGTGTGTCAAGTTACGTAGCTACACCCAATTTTTATATATAATCAAAAAGTACAAAATTACCCTTAGTTTAGAAATAACACTTAACATAACATTCTCTCTCAAGTTGGTGCAAAAATATCCCTCATGCCCAACTTGCAAACAATGAGATGAAAAACTTTACTGCCATGGGCTTTTGTGGAAACATCGCCTAACTGATCTTGTGATTTCACAAAAGGCAACCCTTATTAAATTTCTCTTTAATGAAGTGCCGATCAATTTTAATATGTTTGGTCCTGTCATGTTAAACCAGATTGTGAGCAATGTTAATAGCAGTCTTTTTGTCACAATATACTCTTATAGGTCTATCATTATGAATTCTCAGCTCTCTCAGTATTGTTTGGTCATAGACTCCATAGGACATTACTCTATATTCAGTTTCTGCACAAGATCTAGCCAATATTGCCTAGATTTTCTCCAATCAAGGTGCAATAATTGGAAGTAGGTCTTCTATCATCTGTTGAGCCCGTTTAGTCTGCATTTCCAACTTTAAGTGGCCATTATTAGAGAATAGAATCCATTTTTTTGGAGCTGACTTGAAAAACCTCAATATGCGATACACGACTTCAAGTTAAGGGGTTCGAGGATCATGCATAAATTGACTAACAATATCCACACCATAAGTGATGTCTGACCGAGTATGTGAGAGATATATTAATCTCTCCACTAGTCTCTTTCTCTTTTAACTCACTAACACCACCATTCAGCCGATAGTTGACTTCAATAGGACAATCTGTAGGTCTGCATTCTAACATCCTTGTCTCCTCAAGAAGGTCAAGAACATACTTCCTCTAGGACATAAGCAACTTCAATTCCAAGGAAATACCTTAGTGGACCCAAGCTTTGATTTCGAACTCCTTGAACAACTGAGCTTTCAACTTGGTGACTTCATGCAAATCATTTTCAGTTATCACTATGTTATTCACTTATACAATAAGAACTATAATCTTGCCATCAACTTGTCTGAAGAATAAGGTATGATCTGCTTGACTCTGTTTGTATCCAAATTTCAGCATAGTTTTGAAAAATCTATCAAACTAAGCTCTGGGAGATTGTTTCAACCCATAAAGAGATTTATTTTGCTTACACACTTTCCTTTCAGTCATTGGAGAAAAACTTGGAAGAATCTCAATGTATACTTCCTCCTCTAAATCTCCATGAAGAAAGACATTATTCACATCCAACTGTTGTAAACTTCATCCCAAATTTGTTGCACAAGAGTAAGAGCATGTACGAAATTCATCTTTGCCATAGGAGCAAAAGTCTCATGATAATCTATACTATATATCTGAGTAAATCCCTTAGCAATCATCCTAACTTTGTACCTCTCAAAAGTCCCAACAACTTGTTGTTTGACGGTAAACACTCATCTGCACCATATTGTCCTTACTCCAAGAGGAATAATAACCAACTTTTGTGTCATTTTTCTTTAAGGCTTTTATTTCCTTTACCATAGCTTTTCTCCACTTAGAATTAGTGAGAGTTTCTTTCTAACTCTAAGGAATGGACATAAAAGATAAGGAGGAAACAAAAGAGTCTAGCAGAAATTTGGATACAAACAGAGTCAAGCAGATCAATAACAATCAATAAAGGTAATAAACCAATGATAACTAGAAGTAGACACAACATGAAAAGGGCCCCACACATATGAATGAATAATGACAAAAGGTGTAGTGCTTCTATGGGTGGTACTAGGATAAGATTAATATTTATGCTTAGCAAATTCACAAACAAAAGATTGTCTTCTACACTGCTTCACTAGATAAAGAAAAGATGCTCTAAAACATCAAATGAGGAATGTCCCAAACGTCTATGCCGCAAATGTAAGAGCTGAAGGATTGAAACACCATCTGCCTAGAGAGCTTGACAGATAGACTGAGAAGAAGCTTCATCATCCAAGAGGTACAAACTACCATGTGTTTTACCATTGTCAATCATTTTTCTCGATTTCAGTTCCTGAAAGAGACAATTAAAAGGGAAAAAAGTCATTGAATAATTCAAAGATTAGGTAATACTATTAACAAATAATAAATTAGTGGAAAAATTGAAAATATGAAGAACAGAGAAGAGAGGTAAAGAGGGTGAACAAGAACATTTCCTAGAAATGAAGGACAAAGATCCATCTACCACCTTAATTTTTTTTTCTACTAGAACAAGTAAAAATATGAAAAGAAAAGATTAGAAAAATCAGTCACATGATATGTAGCTCTAGTATTTATAATCTAAGGAGTATATGAGGATGATGCAGTAAATACACTAACAGATACACCGGTATGAGCAAAGTTGGAAGAAGAGGCAGGATTAGGAGTTGTAGCATAGGAAACATCAAGTAGAGCCATCAGACGCCTAAGAGTTTGCATTCATCTTGAGTGAAATTCCTATTGAGTGAAATTACTAAAGGTTACACTCCCTTTTGACATGTTCATACAATAGGGTCAAACAATCACAGCGGCAAGTTACAAAACCAACAAAATAACCAACACTTCCAATAGTCGCCAAAAATACACAAAATCAGTAAGGAAATACAACCCAAGTGATATGCCTTAACCAAAAAGAGAGGCCTTAACAGTGGATAAACAGATTTTTGGACAGTAGTAAAAGTAGAATATGAAGCAGGCGGGACAATGGTTCCAAGCCTAAAAAATAGCCAAAAATCTCACAAATTTAATCCAACTGCAATAAATCTCTTTGGGAAAGTTAGATTACCTTCAGTCGCACCTCATGGATTAAGCAAAAAAAACAGAAACGAAAAAAGTCCAAAAAAAAAACTCCAAAGTAATCACTCCCAAATATTGAACCACAACCACAAAACAATGCGAATAGTATCCAAACGAGATTTGTGTAACAACCCGAAGAAAATAAAGGTCGAATAGTCATAGTACGGTGACTGGTTGGAGATTTGAGTAAGTGGTACTACCGACGATGAGATCAAGCCAAAAAAATCTCACAAATCCACTCTGAAGTACAACAAATGCCCATGCACTTGTCCATCATAGATCTCCTCAAATCAATCCTCACAATGTAGATTTGAACTAGAAATGGGCCAAGGAGAACTCCAAAGGTCAGATTCGAAGTGCCAAAGGTCACAGTATTGTAGCTTAGGGCCAAAACACGTCGAAATCCTCTCAAAAAACTGATCAATCTTCAACAAAAACATAGGAGTGATACAAATCCACCCAAATCGAACCTTAGAAGTTAAGATTGGACCAAAAAAAGAATCTTGAAGTCCCGCAAAGCAAGGGTTTGAGATCTAACTCAAAAAAAATCCAAAAAATCTTCGAAAATTTGAAAACCACTTTAGATGATTTCAAACAATTCCAAGAAAATCACCATAAAACTCAGGACCTTCAACCGATCAATCCATGAAAAAAAGAGAAAAATCTGACACAGTTCATTGCTGACATTAGCAAGTTAGACGTGACGTCAATCACTTCGATTAGTGCCAATATTTTTTGCAAATTTCTGACAACTTTGAGGCTTCAAATTTGGATTTTATTGTCCTCATACCAAGTTAAATTATAAAGTAATGAAGTTTAGGGAAGAGAAAGAGAAAACTTTAGGAGAAGAAAAGAGATTAAAGTAGTGTGTTAGGTTACATAGCTACATGCAACTTTTATATATAATTACAAAGTACAACAATACCTTTAGTTTAGAAATAACACATGACATAACATAGACATAACATATATCTTGTTTTTACCTTCACTCGCGGTGTTAGATGAGTGTTTTCATGCAATATCCATACACCGTAGATCCCAGATGAACATTGCCTTACTTTGTAAATTGGTTATTGCAATGCTATCCTTTGCTGGTCTACAATCTGTTATTCTTCATGCTTAATAAATGTGATGTCTGTTTCTAAATGAGCAATAAATTGTATGCATTGATTGGGTAACCACTGTAACTCATAAATGCTCCAATCCAGATCAGAAATACAAGAACTGTCAACCGGACTGGGCAATTAACATATATCTTGTTTTTACCTTCACTCGCGGTGTTAGATGAGTGTTTTCATGCAATATCCATACACCGTAGATCCCAGATGAACATTGCCTTACTTTGTAAATTGGTTATTGCAATGCTATCCTTTGCTGGTCTACAATCTGTTATTCTTCATGCTTAATAAATGTGATGTCTGTTTCTAAATGAGCAATAAATTGTATGCATTGATTGGGTAACCACTGTAACTCATAAATGCTCCAATCCAGATCAGAAATACAAGAACTGTCAACCGGACTGGGCAATTAACAGGTTACAAGCTAGTACCTGGGTCGAATTGTTTGCCATTAGCTGGCACTGAGGCAAAATTTTTGAGAAGAGCTGCTTTTCTGAATCATAATCTTTGGGTCACACCTTATGCACGTGATGAGATGTTTCCAGGAGGAGAGTTTCCTAATCAAAATCCACGCGTTAGAGAGGGATTGGCTACTTGGGTTAAGCAGAACCGCCCACTGGAAGAAACTGACATAGTTCTTTGGTTAGTCTATTATTTTCCTTAAATAGTTATTTAGTGAATTTTTCAATGTCTTTATAATCACCATGACTGGATAGCAGCATGGCCTTTTGTTGATTTGTCTTCGAGAACAAGTATATGGCCTATGTTTCTAATTTTTAACTTATTTATCTTCAGAATGTTGCAAGCCATACGGAAATATAGTTTCAATTGTAATGTCTTATATGGTTCCGGCATAATTGAATTTATGCCAACCAAAGTTTGTTTAGTAGTTTTTGTTTTTATCATATCCATTCCCTCTTCATCTAGGATCCAATATGGAATATTTCTTAGCAGAAGTACTTTTAATGATCCAAATTTGTCTGAACTCTTTAGATTATGGCCTAGGTAGGGAAGAAAGGGTTTTTTTTTTTTTTTTGGGGGGGGGGGATGTGAACAATATGGATACACTAGTGGGCTATCCTTTCTGCAGATAAAATGGTGGAAGCAAGGGAAACATACTGCTATAGAATAACAGACTCTTCTATATTACAAAAATAATCGCTGCGGAATATCGGTCTTTTGCACTAAAGATGGACTACTAAAGTTCTTCATTTTCTTTGGTAACCAAATCCCATATGCATGAATTTAAATTAGGTGGAGATTAATCCACTTTTCTTTAGTGTGCTCATTTTGATTTACCTAGCATTTGAAAGTGGAATCATTTCTAGAACCTTTATGAAAACTAATCTTATTTGAAGTTTCTTGGTGTCTTTATTGGTGAATTTGTTGCCAAATAAACCAGCCAAGTCTGAGTAAACAGAACAGGGTGATTCGATTCACCTCAGATCAAAATTACCTCCAATAAATTGTACTGGTTTCCGTGGGTGAACCGTTCATTTTTTATGATCTGAGCCATTTCAATCATGCATTACATGACTTGTAGAAACAAGAAAGGTTGTCCTGTTGTAACAATTGACAGATTCGTGCTATTTCATCAATTGTTAGCAAGGGAAAAATGAAGGGAGAAAATGAGAGAAGAAATGCAATCTGAGTTATTAGACGTTGAGAAAAGGTTCATGTGGATGTAACTTCATTGGGATCTTGATTATAGAATCAAATTTTTGCAGGTATGTTTTTGGAATTACACATGTTCCTCGACTGGAAGACTGGCCGGTCATGCCAGTGGAACGCATTGGTTTCATGCTCATGGTATTCCCCATTCATCATTTTAAACTTATATTGTTTGGATTACTGTCATCGTTAGCATCTTACAGCTCTTTTACTGCCGTTGTGGTTGTCGACATCCTCGTGAATGCAATGTAGCTTTCAGTTTATGTTACTAATAAACTTCTGTCCATTATAATATATTTTTCCAATTGAAGAGAATTGACTGTTCTTCATTCTGTTATGTTCTGCTGTCGGTCATGCAGCCACATGGATTCTTCAATTGCTCACCGGCGGTGGATGTCCCTCCCAGCTCATGTGATTCACATCTGAAGGAAAATGGGATGGTCACAAAGTCATACCAGAATGGGTTGATTGCAAAGCTTTGAGAGACATTGTTGGATATGAGTCTAAACTTTTGTGGGTGCCTTGTAGAATGCCATTGTCTCCAATTCATTGAAGGACTACTTGAACAATGAACTGCGATATCAGCTTTTTGTGTTGTGAAATCTCATGGTTTAGGTTTATTCTGAACTAAACGATGGAAGGCAAGTGCTATTAACGTTTTGGCATTGTTGCTGAGAATTACAATCTGTTTGCATATTACGTTTTCCCTAATTAAACAAGAAAGGTTTATGTTACTTCATTTGTCTGTTTCCTTTGTTGTATTCAAATTTCAAAATGATCCAAGTTTGATCAAATTTCTTAGTTAGTCTGATGAAAGTGTCAAGTAACGTGTGACTCCACTTAGAATAGACTTGTTTCAAATAGATTTTTGGTTATAAATAATTATAAATTTATCCTAAAATAATTTCAGATCATATTCAACAGGTCTCTCCCCTTTCATTTCTCCAATGAACTGGGAGAAAATTTTAATATTTTACTAATAGACACAGTCAAGTAGAGTCGGGGTGGAGGCAGAAAATTGTGTCAAGATAGACACAAATAAAAATTTTTAGGATTGATTTGGGTGAATTTTTGTATTTTGAAAATAATATATAATAATTTTATTATTCTTTATATACAAAAAAAAGGGTTGCGAGGCTTAACGATTTAGAATATAGCTGTTGAGGTGGCACCTGTTCCCCCGGGGCGGGTGTATATGCCCGTAGCTTTCTTCTGTCACTTCTTATCAGACCAACGAAGTTGAAAAGTAATAGAGTAAGGGACCCTTGTTTACAAAGTTGTTCCTCCGAGAACTCGAAGTGAAGCATCTTCGAGAATATTTAGATTAGTCTAAATTAATACTCAAAGTTAAGCATCTTCGAGAATATTCAGAATAGTCTAAATTAATTAAAATATATGTAAATTAACTATGACACTCTCGATCTTTTAAAAAAAAAAAATTAGAAACATTAGGTGGGAGGATGGATTACGAGGCGGGATTAATTGTAATCTTTGATGTTGCATCTCCTTAGCTACAGCCCTTAATGATTGGAATCCTAAACTTGAGATTCAGTGTTCATTGATTAAGAAGATGTCTATTCTTTTAAGGTAAGAAGAAGAACGCTAAGCAATTTTTTGACTTTTAGTTCCACATTGCAAACTCTTTTATCTTTTATGTTGGCTTTTTCTATTTTACCCTATACATTAAGAAAACATTACAATATGGAAAAGCAAAATTTGAAAAAAAGTTAAAAACACTCTAAAAATGATAAATTTTACTTAATCAAGCGGTAAGTGAACCCAAAAAATAAACGCACATCAAAAAGTTAATGAACTTCACCCAATAAATAACAAGTT